AACCCATCATGTTACATTCCATGATAAAATCGACGATTTCCTCTTTTGAATACCTTCCTGACATCCTTGAGTCCTTAGCTTGCAACAGTCCTTCCGGCCGCATCCACCTCCTGCAGAGCCATCGGTGGTGAAGCCCCTGTACCCCTCCAAGATGGGTCGATATCCTGTGCACCGACAGAGGTTCCCTGCAAAGGATAAACGTGATAAAACGGACAAGTTAGTCATGTGTGTAACAACCCTCCTGGAAAAAGATCCAAACACACTTCTTTAATTTTTTTTAGCCTCTCCCACAAGGATCCGAACCCATTCTTTCAATTCATTGGCCTCTCCCACAAAGGATTCGATCCCACCCACTCCAGGTAAAAGAGAACAGAAGTTCGCAACTAAACCACTAAACCAAAGAACTGTCTAGGTTGACAATACGAGTCCCATAGCAAATACCGATTGTATTTAGACAAGAGGATGGTCTCGCAAGGATCTATACTAGCTGTATAGCGATTATATATCCTAGTTATCTATTTTTTTAAAGTCTTGTGGGTCTCGTGGTTTTATTTCGTTTGTTCAGCTTTTTACAACATGAGAGAGAGAGAGAGAGAGAGAAGAGAGAGAGAGAGAGAGAGAGAGAGAGAGAGAGAGAGAGAGAGAGAGAGAGAGAGAGAGAGAGAGAGAGAGAGAGAACAATATTCATTTCAATATGTATTCACATAATCTCCATTAACATGCTGTCGTCCTGCTACCTGTGAAGTACTCGTCGAGCTGTTCCATGGACGGCTTCGGGTGGTTCCTGAGCAGCGTGTACATGGACATGACGATGCCGGGCGTGCAGAAGCCGCACTGGGAGCCGTGGGCGCGGGCGATCCGCTCCTGCACCGCGTGGAGGCGCGTCTGCGTCGACCCGATGCCCTCCACCGTCGTCACCGCCATCCCGTGCACCGCCGCCACGGGGGCCAGGCAGGCCACGATGGAGTAGTGTCTGCGGGCGGTTGGCGGTGTAATTTTACATCATACTGTCTATATTACTAATTTCATTTTATACACAGGCCGAGATACACATATATGTTTTTGTGCAAGTTTGTACATGTGTATTGTCACAACCATGCAAATTATAGCAATAAAGATAAATAATCTGCGCTTACCTTACTTCATCTCGTCTTCGGTCGTACCGCGACACCATGACAGTACAGGCGCCACAGCCTCCTTCTCCGCAGCCACTCTTCGTCCCGCATAATCTTACTAAAAATTTAATGAAGGAAAACATACAAAATGTTCAATATTACATGGAATTGTACTATTATTTGCAGGCAGTAATAAACTAAACAAAATTAAGCGTTACAATTTAGATTCGAAACATTAAAACATATCTATCTAACAAAGACAGACCAATGATGCTGCCGTTCCGCATGCAATGTGCCTGGGACATCCTACCATGATACGCCATATCAGCCTCGTAATCTCTTCGTCCATCGGTGCTCTCAAGCCAGGAATGAATTTAGAGATAATTGTAAATTCAAAACGAATAAATTAAAATGTTCATAAGAAACAACGATACAAGATCACTGTTATCGCTCTGTAGATATTAAAATAAATCGACAATTGCGTTGAGGTCTTATCAGGAGCAAAGTACTAGATAAAAAAGCAATGCCGATAGCTTCAAGGATCAGAATCACTTAGGGACAGATTTGGCGAGCAAAGGATACACTTCTCACGCAGAAAAGTCAGCAAAGTCATTTCTGGGTCGACATTCGGCTCTTGCACCTGCAATGGAAACCCATTCATTACAAGTTGGACACCGAAGTAATAAAAATAATAAAGCAAGTTAGGGTAATATTATTGTAAATACGACGGCCATAACAATACACTGATTGTTGTTTGATGTTCTGTCTAAAGAGCAAGCACTTTCTTTGCTCAAAACCAAGAAAATGCCATTCTTTAAAGTAAAACTGACCTTTTCAGTTCCTCCCGTTGAGAGAGATAAAACATCACACTTACCTGTTATCATGTAAATATATATATATATATATATATATATATATATATATATATATATATATATATATATATGTATATGTATATGTATATGTATATGTATATGTATACCCACCAAAACATTAGATATTGGGTTTGCCAGCATGCCAAAATATTAAGTGCTGGGAAAAGCCTCTATTCTCTTTGTACTAAAATTACTTTTCTTCATACTTATTCATTCTCCCCTTGCTCATCATCCTCTCCTCTTACTTGCCTCACCTCACTCTAAATATAGTTAAATCGTATTTATAATAGACCTTACCATTTTTCCTAGGAGTTTAAATCAGAAGTAGCCTATGATCATTTTATACCTTTACTTGTGTCAGTGGGTTCCACACTATCATGAGGGTGTACCTTGACCATCACAAGGTACATCAAGGTACTTCTCACATGTATGGTCAGATTCAACCATGGTCGCTTTGGATGGAATGAACTATTTCCAAGGTATTGGCAAGAACCGCCTGTCATCATAGTGTATACTGCAATCTTAAAAATCAAAAATGGTCTTTGACTTCTGGGTGATGATAAATATTGAGGATTACTTTGCGTTTCTTCAGACTTTATGTTCCAAGCAATATACAAAGTGATCATCTTCCCTTGATTTACCCGTAATTCATTCTAACTCTACGGACGACAGCTGCTTGTCTCATTCTGCTTGGCCCGCGAATGTGCTCTTATTCTCCCTTGGTAGAAGGATTGGGAACATGGCCATTTTATATCAAACCTCTAGTTTTTTTCAAGGTTGGGTAATGACTTGGGTAGGGGCCTTGGAATGGATTAAGCCGACAGCAGGTATAAAAGAGAAGGATGTAGTCGTGCTCAGTCATGATCAAAGGAAAGCCAGGGGTTGGGGAACCGGAAAAGTCAGTATCATTGAGGCTAGTTGATAAAGGCGCAAACCTCAAAGCCCCTAACAAAGTTACACAATAATTACTGGCCATGGTAAATAATATGCCAGATTACTGCCTAACTCTTTATTAAGAGTTTACACACCAGTAGAATAGAACACGATCCGTGCGAGGCTGGTCAGTGCTGGAGTTGTCCCAGCAACTGTCCACCCTGGAGATGGTGAAGCGGGCAATGGGAGCGTTGGGAGATAGGGTGATTACCTGACCATATGGAGAGAGAGAATGAGTATGAATGAGTTAGAAGTCAAGCTGGGTTGCTCTTATATCTGATCAAGTGACGGGAGTGTGGCTTGGGGTATTAGAATCACCCATGTGGCGTTTTTTTATCACGGGT